TTTTATGTCTTTTCTATTATATAGAAAATTATTTTTTTTATTGCCTGTTTACACCGTGGGACCGAGAGGACTGAAATTTCTTCTATGCTGTATGTCATGCATGTATAGCATACTTGACAATAAAGTTGAGTTGACTTGAAAAAAAAAAAGAAAAAAGAAAACCTCACCAAGCATTTGACCCATCATAACTCTAGAAACATGGTCAGCTTCAGATGAAAATACACACAAAGGTTTGACTTGTGAAAAACTCTGATGACCTACAGTGTAAGGTAGGGATGGTGAGATTCATTGCAAGGATTAAAAGGGTGCGCATTAGATACAGCTTTGGATGAACTTGGGATGCATCATTTCTCACATCTTTGCATTAGTAAAAAATGATTAATTTACAGATTTAAGATTTTAGTAGAGGCCCTATGCCTTTATTATTTAGAAATGTGCCTAATACAGAATATAAAATCAAACTATATCAACAATATTGAATTGCATAACATCATATTGCTTTATATCACATCATATTGTGTTAAATTGCATCGTATTGAATCAAATCGTGTCGAATCACACTGCATCGCAATAGGGGTGAATCGTATTGCACTGGCAATTGCTTTTTCTTCAGTCTCAGAGATGGAGATGCACATCCTACCTTAAGGTCAGCAAAGGAAGGAAAGGAAGGAAAGGAAGGAAAGGAAGGAAAAGAAGGAGGTCAAGAAGGATAAAGAGGAGGAAAGGAAGGACGTATCTTACTTGGTGAACTGGCGAAGTTTGGCCTCAATGCTGCGATGCCTCATGCACATCCTGGTCAGAGCTGAACCGATATCTCTGGTTGCCCCTGGAAACACAAAGCAGCCAGGTTCATATGATGAAACACGCACACACATGCATACACATACAGATGTTACCAAAGCGTCTCATTGCATGAGAAGCACAGAAGGCACTTTTCTTGCTCCACGGAAACCACACAAAGCTGTGATCAATATTTACATTACGGCCATTACTGTGCTGTGCAAAGTAAATGTGGTAAAAGCGTTGTATTCTTCAAACAGATGAACAACTACCAAGCTTTTGTATCCAGCCAGTATTTACACAAGACACTGATCTGCCTCTCGTATACTCTACTTACTCCGGCTTCGTCCAAATAAAGTAGTGTCTCGTGAGTGTGTTTGTGTGAGAGCCAACCGCTCAGAGACCCAGTTTCGTGTGCGACTAACCTGCAACTGTAAACACCAGTCTATTTTAAGGCAGAGTATGTGGAAAAAGCTGACCCCGGAGTTTAAGTCAGTTTAAGTGATGGCAGACACCGCTAACTTCCAAACAAGGTGCTAAGAGCCACTGCCGCCGCTGTACAGGTGGAGGGCCAACAAAAGAACCGTGATTATAGCTTCACTCTCATGCTATGTACTTAAAGACTTGCCAGTAAAGGTAAGGCTTATACAGTATACAGTGCCTAGAGAATACCATAATCACTGCTGCCACTGAAATGTACACACTGGAAAATTCAGATTAAACAGCAGCCAAATGGGATTTCCTCGAGACACTGTTTATCATAAGGGCTTAGACAGGCTTACACAGTGAAATGCAGGCAGTGCAGGGGGAGGAAGGGCGTTGTTCCACAATGTTGTGCACCAGATTAATATTTTCATCCAAAACTGAAAAACGCCAGTGTTTTTGAAAAAAAAAAAATGGGGGGATGGTAACTTTTATAAAATGATTCAATCCATAATTTCAGAATATGATGTAACTTTTTCAGCTGCACCAGCCATGTACAGTACTGTTGAGGACATCACTCACTTTTTTAACTAAACAACATTCCAACCAACATTCTTCATATAAACTTGAGCTGCAATATTAAAAAAGCAAAACATTTGTCTCTTTTACATACCCATTTTTGGACGGAATTCTAATTTCAACCCACAAAACAAGCACACAGAAGATTTGTTGTCACACCACTTTAACGTAGAAATATCTCAATAACTACATTGTCACACTGTCATTGTGAGCATGTTAGCATGCTGAGGTTTGCAGTTAGCTCAAAGCTCTGCTGTGCTAGCATGGCTGAAGACTGTCTTGGTTTCCCTTTTACTGTAACTGTTGGTCACCTTATGTGAACACTCCACCTCAATCATATTTGTGGTATGACAACAGGAAATGTAAATCATATCAATTTGTAGTATACTGTTTTAAAACCTTTCATATTAACTGCGTTTGGCACCTGCTGTGTGGTCAATGGAATGATCATGGTTATGGGGAATAAACTATCGTCGGGGTCTGGTTAGGGTTAGGCGACTAAAACACTTGGATAAGGTTAGGGAAAGATCGGGTTATGCTTAATAATAATAATTCATTTTAAGTTCATAATGGAAAGCAAACTACATTTTTCTGCCTGAAGTCACACAGCTACAATCTACTACCACAACCTCCACACCTTTATTGTCTGCCTTGCTAAAAACACACTACTTCCTGCACTGGCACTGATCATTATAATTATTTTCCTAGGGATACTAGTGAGTAAGTAGTATTTATAAATCATATATGCTTCAAATAGTGTATTTAATTGAACAAAATAAGAAAATTCAATGTTTTTTATGTTTATGTCATACAATGATAACTCCAAAACTGCTTTTTCAGGTTTCCCTCTCTTTTTAAGAAATCATTTTTCTACAGGACAGCACTTGTTCACAATGGTGATCAGTATTAATGTATGTGTGGCGCCCTAAACTGTTTTCACCACGGCCAACTGACTAAAGTGTTCCTCTAATCGTAACATTAATTTAGCCATAGTCCAAGTCATCTTAGGTCCTTTTATTAAAAGAAGAGGTAGAAAGTGTTCATTGAATGTACAATTAATGCTGTGCATGTATTTATCAACCACAACAATACATGTTAATTAATAGGCTGACTGTATGCATTAGGGATGTGAATCCCCACCAC